GTTTGTGTAGCTCCTTGAGTTTGGATTTGTGACTGTTTTTTGGAGCTTGTGTAGCTCCTTGCTCTTGTGTTTTTTGCTGTGTTGTTTGGAGCTTGTGTAGCTCCTCAATCCCTTTGGGTTTGTTGCTGTTATTTGGAGCTTGTGTAGCTCCTTGCTAGCTGGGTTAGTTGCTGTTTTATTTGGAGCTTGTGTAGCTCCTTGCTAATGGGGTTGTTGTTGTTTTGTTTTTGAGCTTGTGTATAGCTCCTTGCTAGCTGGGTTTGTTGCTGTTTTATTCTGAGCTTGTGTAGCTCCTTGCTAATGGGGTTTGTGCATGTTTTTCCTCAGTTGTGCAGCTCGTGCTGCAGCTGGGGTTTGTTGCTGTTTTGTTTTGAGCTTGTGTAGCTCCAATCTTTATTGAAAAATACATATTATTTGGAGCTTGTGCAGCTCCTGCTGCAGCTGGGGTTTGGTGCTGTTTTGTTTGAGCTTGTGTATCTTTCATGCTCTTTGGGGTTGTGCCTGTTATATGGAGCTTGTGCAGCTCCTGCTGCAGCTGGGTTTGTTGCTTGTTTACCCCCTATCTGCTGGGTTTGCTGCTGTTTTGTTCTTGGAGCTTGTGTAGCTCCTTGCTGCTGGGGTTGTTGTTGTTTTGTTTTTGAGCTTGTGCAGCTCCTTGCAGCTGGGGTTTGATGCTGTTTCGTTCTGAGCTTGTGTAGCTTATTGCTCTTGTGTTTTTTGTTGTGTTGTTTGGAGCTTGTCTAGCTCATTTAGTTTGGATTTGTGGATGTTATTTGGCTTGTGTAGCTCCTTGCGGTTTCAATATTCTTGCTGTTTTATTCTGAGCTTGTGTAGATCCTTGCTAGCTGGGGTTTGTGCCTGTTTTTCCTCAAATTTGCAGCTCCTGCTGTAGCTGGGGTTTGTTGTTGTTGTTGTTGTTTTGAGCTTGTGTAGCTCCAATCTTTGTTGAAAAATACCTGTTATTTGGAGCTTGTGCAGCTCCTGCTGCAGCTAGGGTTTGGTGCTGTTTTGTTTGAGCTTGTGTATCTTTCATGCTCTTTGGGGTTGTGCCTGTTATATAGAGCTTGTGTAGCTCCTGCTGCAGCTGGGGTTTGTTGCTTGTTTACCCCCTATCTGCTGGGTTTGCTGCTGTTTTGTTCTTGGAGCTTGTGTAGCTCCTTACTGCTGGGGTTGTTGTTGTTTTGTTTTTGAGCTTGTGCAGCTCCTGCTGCAGCTGGGGTTTGGTGTTGTTTTGTTTGAGCTTGTGTATCTTTCATGCTCTTTGGGGTTGTGCCTGTTATATGGAGCTGAGTTTGCTGCTGTTTTGTTTAGAGCTTGTGTAGCTCATTGCTGCTGGGGTGTGTTGCTGTTTTGTTTTTCCGAGCCTGTGGGTTACTTGCTGTTTAGTTTTGAGCTTGTGCAGCTCCTTGCACTTGATATATGGCAATGATGATGATCAGTGTTTACTGAGAATGCAATCTAACTTACATCGTTTATTATATCCAGATGAGGCAAAAGGGGATGAGATTGCAGCCTACATTGAATTGACAATGTCTAGGCGAGGCAATTCATCCTTATAATGCAATCTGTAATAAACATGTAAGTTATATGTGGGGGCAATCAATTATGACAAGTTGATCTATTACTGAGCCATACAATATCAATTAGAATTTGTACCCAATTCAAACAACAGTTTTCATTACACCCTCAATAGTTTTTGCAATTACAAGTACATGACATGAAGTTTGTAATAATTAAAATAACACAAAAAATTGCTAAGAAAATTACAGAAATTTTCCAAGCTAGTAGTTGATTTTCGACAAGTCTCAATTCTTTCTTCAGCTTCTTTGATTGCAAAATATATTTATCTCCGTACCTATTTTCTTTGACATATTGGCTTCCTTGGGTGCTTGATGACTCTCCTCTTTCTTCAGCCCATTCGAAAAACACCCCCAATAACACCTACCCTTATTTTTACCATTCTTGCACACTTTCATCGGTGTTCGGAGATTGCAGCCGCAATAAACTTTATAATTCTGCTAACACTCTTCTGATATCATCCTTGATGTCGGGCCAGCAAATTGAAGAGCTTGGGAATTTTTTTACCCCTGAAAAATGAGAATGATGGGATTATTTGTGAGGCCTCAAGGTGAATTTATAGCCACCATGCCCCTGAAATAGCCGTTGCTACAGTGATTTACCAAAGAATATTGAAATCTGATTTTTTAGACAAGAAGGAGCCGTTGCTACAGTGTTTGCTGCTTGAAATCTGATTTTGGGGGCTAAAATCTGTTTCTACAGTGATTTTTAAATGTAAATTGAGATAGCCGTTGATACAGTAACGATCCCAAGAAAAATATTCTTCTTGAACCAAACATGGTATTAGGAATTGGACCAATTCTATAAAAGTGAGATTACTAATCCTTTGAGTGAAACAAACATTGAAAGCCAAAAAAATGGGATTCCATAAAACTAAAACTTGTCCATAAATTTTTTATGGATTAGGTTGGAATCCATAAATTAAATAGGATTACTAGAATCCATAAATTAAATAGGATTACTGATCCTATTCCTAGCCTTTGATGAAACAAACAGCCCCTTAGACCATCTCCAACGCAGCGGCATTTTGAGGCGAAAAGGGAAAATGCCGCTGCGTGGGAGCTCCAATCGAGCGGCATTTGTTGCCGCATTTTGACGGGGATGAACAGCGCGACGCTATATTTGGCGTCGCACTGTTCATCCCCCATTACTGTTTTTTTTTATTTTTTTATTTTTCAATTTTTTTTAAACCTCATACTTTTATATATTTACAATTTGTCCCCAATTGTTTCATTAAATATATAAAACAACCCTAATAATATTTAAATTTTATAATTTCACCCCAATTGTATAATGTGGACAAAATAAATTATGGTTTTTTTAAATTAAAAAAATGCTAAAATTTAACAGACATTATTATTAATTATAATATTAAAATCTAGACATACATAATATAAAACTTCATTAAAGAGCAATCATAATACATAATTCAAATATAAATTACATATCTGAAATACATAACATATAAAAACTGACACACATAATATAAAACTTCATTAAAATAAAACATAAAATACAAACTAAACATGGTGACGTTACTTAAGATGGACAAGCAACTCTCAATAATCTGGTAGATCGGGGCCAGAGTGTCCAATATCATTAAAATAATTGCCAAAATTAGAAGCAGACCCTTGTTCTTGTTGATTTCTTTTTTGTATTATTTTAATCTGTTGAGCTCGAACGTACTCACGCACGTTTGGATCAGCAATGGAATTCAAATCTTTCATTATAATTTTCCATTCATCTCTATCTTTTTTCATGGCTATCTTTTCTCGTTCGATATCAAATGCTTCTTGCCTGTCCAAGCTCGCCTTGTCTAACCTGTCTATAAGTCGATTGTTGGAGGTCTCGATGGAGTCCACTACACTTGACTCATGATCATCATTTTTCCTTTTCAATTTAGCTTTTTTTACCCCAATAGGTCGTTCAGATGGAGTAAATGATGACAATCCAGGAGATGTTGATATAGGAGATTCCGGAGTGGGATTATCTGATTGTGACGAGTCGAACTTCACACTTTGGGATTGTCTTCGACCAACTTGTCTTGCTGTGGGGACATCATCTTTGAATTTTTCGAAATTTTTAACCATATTCCAGACATGATCAAATTTGAAACCTTTTTTGTACTTCGGTTCTTGCATAAATAACATCTTTGCTCGAACTAACTGTAAATTATAGTGAACATCAAGTTATGTATTTCAACAATAATAATAAAATTCAAACGATAATTAATAGAATACTTACAATATCTTCATCTGAAGCACCACTTGGATTCAGATTCTCTACTTGTCTCAAGCACGCATTCAATTTCCTTACTTCATTACTTATAATTTCCATTCGAGAACGAATTGATCGGCTCGTACGCATCTCAAAATGCTGATCTCGAAGTTCATTGTATTTGTCCTCCACACGAGACCAAAATGCATCTCGAGACTGGTTTCTACCGATAATAGGGTCTTGAGAAATATCCAAGAATACTTGACAAAGGAGCACATCTTCAGTAACCGTGTACCCAGTTGATCGAACAGACATTTTTTTGTAAAAAGCGGTTGGTTTGGAGATCAGAAATACTTTGAAGAAATACTTCGAATTGGGTGGCTTGAAGTAGAAACCGTGAATGTTATTTATAGCCAATCCAAATTTGTTTTTTTTGTTTGAATTTGAATTTGAATTTGAATTTGAATTTGCGGTTGGTTTGAATTTGTCGGTGGTCAACATTTGAAATTGAATCATTTTGTACAAACTGATCAGCTTTACACATTATCCAACGTTGTCGGTGGGAATCAATTTTTGAAATCAGGTCAGCTTTACACATTGTCCAACGTATACAAAGCTCAGCTCTCCTTGAATTGTGTGAAAGCTTTGTACGAGTGGGAATCAATTTTTGAAATCAGGTCAGCTTTATACATTGTCTAACGTATACACAGCTCAGCTCTCCTTGAATTGTGTGAAAGCTTTGTACGAGTCGGAATCAATTTTTGAAATCAGATCAGCTTTACACATTGTCCAACGTATACACAGCTCAGCTCTCCTTGAATTGTGTGAAAGCTTTGTACGAGTGGGAATCAATTTTTAAAATCAGGTCAGCTTTACACATTGTCCAACGTATACACAGCTCAGCTCTCCTTGAATTGTGTGAAAGCTTTGTACGAGTGGGAATCAATTTTTGAAATCAGGTCAGCTTTACACATTATCCAACGTATACAGCTAAAAGCAAATTTGAATTTTGTGACAAATTGATAACAGCTGGAAAGCATTTCCTAAAATCAGCTCAACTTTACACATTGTTCAATGTATACAGCTAAGCAAAGTTTTATAAATAGCATACTAGATTAGGTACATCCACACAATTACTCATTGTTGTGTTAAAATTATTATTCTCCATTTCTGCATACTTCAGTCATTCTTTTCTTACTTCAAAAATGAATTTCGATGTTGGAGGTCCATCATACTTATCATCATCTTCATCTTCGGATGATGATAATTTTCTGTCCAATATCATTGCAGAGATTGATGAAACCGAAGAAGTAATTTGTGAGTACATCAACAACAACATGATCCTCGTTAACAATTTACGTCAACACAACTACCAACCGATCCATGGTGGCTCGATTCCCGGTCATGCAGTGATCAACCGCGATCGAGAAAATGCGCATCAGAATTTGGTCATAGATTACTTTGCCGATAATCCACGTTTTGGAGAAGATATGTTTCGTCGTCGATATCGGATGTCAAGAAGTTTGTTCCTTCGTATTGTTGATGCAGTGAAAGATCATGACTATTACTTCCAACAACGAAGTGATGGACTTGGTAGAATGGGATTATCACCGTTACAGAAAGTAACAGCTGTTTTTCGCATGTTGGCATACGGTCTACCAGCTGATGCTACGGACGAATACGTTAAAATAGGTGAGTCAACAGCAATTGAAAGTATGACAAAATTTTGTCGTGCTATGGTGGAAATATTCGCAGAGCGGTATCTACGAACACCTAACGCTAACGATATTGCTAGGCTACTCTATATTGGAAAAAAAACGTGGTTTTCCAGGAATGTTAGGAAGTCTTGATTGTATGCATTGGAAATGGAAAAATTGTCCAACAGCATGGTCTGGGCAATACACAGGACGTAGTGGGTCACCAACTATTATCCTCGAAGCTGTGGCAGATTATGATCTTTGGATATGGCACGCATATTTTGGTATGCCAGGCACCAATAATGATATCAATGTGCTGGAGTCATCTAATCTTTTCTCTAACCTAGCTCAAGGTATTGCTCCTCCCGCTCACTATGTTATTCAAGGAAAAGAGTATAATATGGGTTATTATTTAGCTGATGGTATATATCCGAAATGGGCTACTATTGTACAAACAATCCAACAGCCACAAGGTAGGAAGAAAAAATATTTTGCCATGAAACAGGAAGCATGTAGAAAAGATGTAGAACGTGCGTTCGGAGTTCTCCAATCACGATTTGCAATCGTGGCAGGATCAGCACGTTTTTGGAAAAAACATGTATTACATGACATAATGACTGCATGCATTATTATGCACAATATGATAATCGAGGATGAACGTGATCTTTATGCACCAATTCAAGAAGTGAGGGAAGCACCAACACCAGAAGTTGATATGGTAGCAGATGAAACTACAAGATTTACTCAATTTATTACACGTTACGGAAAAATCAAGGATAAAGATGCTCATATTGCGCTTCGTAATGCATTGATAGATCATCTATGGGAGGAATACACTAATTCAGATAGTTAAGTGCATACTAAATTTGTAATTTTTACATTGTTGTTAATGTTTAATTATTTCCTTGTATTTTATTTCCTGTTGTGTTCTTGAATGTAATATTTTGGCAATATCAATAATAAAAATATAATATTTTAGCAATCAAGTTATTTTAATTAATAAAATAATATTTTATTGTTTTATTAGTTTAATTTTTAAATAATAAATCATTTTGTTTGGAAAATATGTGAAAAAATAAAATTTGATATGTGGGGTTAATTGTTGAAATAGTTAAAAATATAGGGAATAAAAAATAATCATATAAAAGTAGATAAAAAGAAAGATACTGAGAATATTCCTTTTTGGTGCAAAAAATGGTGCAATGGGTTGGAGATGAATTACTGTTAGATGTGACTTTTGCACCATTTTGGTGCAAAATTCGCACCATTTTGAGGCAAAGGGTTGGAGATGCCCTTATACCCCTTCCTCCTACCTCTTTACTGTGAGCCATAACTCGCCCAATTTCTCACCGCCGAAAATCAAAACCCTAGAATCCTCCGCCGTGGCCCCCATCATCGACCACACCTCCTCATTCCTTGATCTAGCCGAAGACGCGGGCTACAAGTTCGAGCAACGACGCCCGCCTGCCTTCTCCGGCCGCCGACCATACCGTCAGCCGCCATCCGAGTCCCTCGGTGGGGCCCCGCGTCTGGCTCGACGAGTCCCTCCTAAACCCTAGCTTCTCGGGGGAGACGGCCATCACTGCTTCTCGATCCAAGATGGAGGTCTTTCTCACCTGCTTCCAAGATCGCGGCGAGGTATTATACCGTTTTTTCCCTAGGGTTTTTATTGCTCATTTACATATTAATAATCCCACATTAGCCAGTCAATTAAATTGCATTACTTTGACAGTCAGTGAAATAAATCGGACTTGCTTCTTCATTTTTTTTGAAGGCTAGGGAAATGGTGGATGAAGTCAACAACTGGTTCGATGGACTACCTCTACTTCCTTCCTACTCAGCTATCGGAGCAGATACTCGGCTGCTCGTTCTGAATGCTCTCACTTTCAAGGCGTCGCGGGCTGATAAATTCTATCCCTTGAAAGCCAAGAACAGACACTCCGGGTTCTATAGACTCAACCGCGTCCCGTTTACTGTGTCTTTCATGACGACCAATTCTCGACAGTGCATCGGGTGCTATGACGGGTTCAAGGTCCTCCGGCTTCCTTTCAAGAGAGGATGCGGCCCGAGGATCTTTGCCATGTATGTTTTCCTGCCAGATGCACAAGATGCTCTCTGGGATTTGGAGGGGAAGCTGGGTTCGGATGCAGGGTTCATGGGTAGACACATTCCTTTGGAGATGGTGGATGTCGGTGAGTTCAGGGTCCCCTTTGGAACTGGAGGGACGGACTTCACTAAAGGAATGGGGTTAGTTTGGCCTCCAATTAGGAATAAAGATCGTTGGACTTGTGATGGGTATATGTTGTCGAGGATTTCTCTCAGGCTTGAGGATGTAAAGGGAAGTAGTCGAGGAGGTGAAGGTGGGAGCCAGGATAAATCTACAAGGCAGGTCGGTGCTATTGACTTTGTTGCTGATCACCCATTCGTGTGTGTGATTCGAGATGATGTAAGCGGAGTTGTGATGGCTGCCGCGCATGTGCTTGATCCGTTTGCGCGATGGTGAATCATTGTAAGTTATGCACAACTATTTGTTTGCAAGTCGTTCTTTATTCATGCCACTAGGGCTATCTTTATGTATATCCGTAGATGAATTAGCAAAGTATGTGCAGAACTTATCATGGTTTTTTACTGCATTTACATATGTCATCAAGTATATCAATTTATCTGTTCTATTGGTTGGTCATCCTGTAGTTATTGTGGTTGTATAATTAAATGACATTTCATCACAAATAACTTCTTCTCTTGGCTACTGATATAAGGCCTCTAGTTTTATGTATCCTCTTCTCTAGTTAAACTATATTACCGACTACTAGCTGCTGCATTTTGTGATATTACAGCCAGAGAAAGTAGTTCTTACTATATTACTGAAGATCGTGGTTTAGAAATCCTGTGTCCACCCTGGAGGACGTTACTTGTATTTGCATATATAAATCATAGGGTAGTATTGTTTTCTTACATAAGTGTGATCTTATATTCTTATGTGCACCTTCCCTCAGAGAAATGGAGGTATTTTGGTGTTTTTCTTTTCTAATAAAAAAGTTTTGTTTTCCGTTGAAAAATAATTTGTGGTAGGTTCGTGGAATTTACTATTTGTTAAATATATTGCTATTGCTATAGATACAGGAAGGATGTTTAGTGTAAACCATCTTTAAATTTAAATTACTTGATGTGTTGCTCCATTGTGTAATGCTCTAACAACTTGGTTTTAAACATGTTTAAAATTCAAAATTTTTGTCAAGCCTTTCTTGTATACTGGACTACTAGTTAATTTTCCTGATTTGTATGCATATAATTCTTCGGAGATTTGCTAGTACTAATGTCTGATTGGTGGTTTGAATAATTTGTTACTGTTAAAAGTATTCTTTGATTGAAATGAATGCTTTGGTTCTTGTTTTCTGTGTAATCTTTTCTATAGATTGGTTCTATGTTCTTAGTTAAGTTTTATGGAGTGATTTTATTTATGTTCTATCTAATCTATTCTATAGATTACTTCTGTTCACATTATGCAGTCTATTTGATAAAGTTGTGCTTTTCATGTTCTTTATTAATCTCTTTCTAGCATTGGTTCTCATCTTGAGACTCATTTGCATAACAGTTTTTTTTCTTTGTTCGTTGTATCGGTAAGCAACATTACCTACTTGTAGCTCCTTTTTTAGAAGTGTTCCCCTTGAAGTATTTCACTCACACTACTGTTTTTCCCGGTCTAGTCTGCATATATGTGTAATAAAGTCATATTATACTTCCAAATGGGTGCATTTTTTTCCTTTGATTTTGATTCATTTGCTTTTAGTGTAAGTGTTCGTACTACTACTGTAATTAGTTACATAATCTTTATCTTAGATGCTTTTCTTAATCTGCATATATATGTATAATAATTTTGCTTCTTGCAACATAATGTCAATGTCATGTTAAAATGTTGATAATTTTGTTGACCCATGGTTTGTGATGCAGTGGAAGTTTGAAGCCAGTGGTGAAGGTTACTTTGGTGGAGATCGACTGGTTACAGTTCTTGATGAAGACGACCTACTTTCTTTCTGTGCTGAAGACGACCTACTTTCTTTCAGTTCTTGCTGAAGACGGCCTACAGTTCTTGCTGAAGATCGTCTGGTTACAGTTCTCGCTGAAGATCGACTGATTACAGTTTTTCCTGACCCAAAACTTACAGGTACTTTTTTTTTCTATTAAAACGATCTGCATGCCCCTTATATTGTTACTGTGAGCTGTATGTCTGCAGTCACTCTGCTTGTTGATGTCAGATTTTATAAGGATATTATGATGAAGTGGATATTATTAAGACAACGTATGGAGTAATTCTTGTATTGGTTAAAGAGAGTTGGTAACTTAGTTGTGCTTTTCTTTGAGCCTAATTGCATTTCTGGTAATACCTTGCTTTTCTCCTTTCAAATTCTACTAGTATGTACCCTGTGCAAAGCACGGCAACTTATTTTTTTTATCATTGTATTTTAAATTTGCGTTTCTCTAAGTTTTAATACATTTAATTTGATTATTGTACACTTAAAAATATTGTCATTTGATACTTATACATTCTTGCTCTAAAGAATATAAGGTCAACTCTAAATTTCCTAGTTTAAGAATATAAATTTTAATATATTACTAAATCAGCCGAATATCCATTTTTAAAATTTTGTGAATGGCAAAATTTTACAGCCAATCCTATTCAAGAGGTCAATTTAATTTGTAACTCGAGGGAGGATTGTTTTGAAAAAGTAAAGTAGCTTAAATTGGTCTTGCTATTATCTATTTCTTTTCATCTGCTATTTTTCTTGTTGGTCTACAAAAAAAGTAAGTATTTATATTTTCAAATCCTCTTTTAAGTTGGAATTCCTATGCAATTTATTAATAGTTATTTGTAAAATTGTTCCTTTCTTTCATTGTTATTGTCCGCATTTTAGTCCTATTATTGAATTTATTGCAAATATTACTTAGCACAAATTTTCAAAACCGACCCATTTGTGAACTTAATCCTAAAAAACGACATCATTCAAACAAAATTGCAAAAATCAACCTGGTTTCAGCCTCAGCGTTGAAACCAGGTGAGTTTTTAAAATTTTTTTCCGAAACTTCACAGGAGTTGAACTCCCCTGAAGTTTAGCAGATCTGCGAAACTTTACGGGAGTTGAACTCCCGTGAAGTTTTGGAATTTCTTTTTCAAAATCTGACCTGGTTTCAGCGCAGAGGCTGAAACCAGGTTGGTTTTTGCAATTTTTTTGAATGAGGACTTTTTTTGGGAATAAAAGTCTAAATGAGTCGGTTTTAAAAATTTGTTTATATTACTTATGTAAAATTTTATTTACAAATGCTGTCCTATAAATAGCTAAGAGAGGATTGCTATGGTTTCCACTTCTTGTATCTATCAGCCTCCTCCTCCTCCAGATCTGAGCACGGCTCCTCTCTCTATCCTCCTCCTCCTCCAGATGTAACTCCAAGTAGATGGGCTCCTCTCTCTTTCTCTCTCATGCTTCAGATCTGTGACTCCAAGTGGATTCTAGAGCTCGGGTTTTCACTGTTCTCCCTCGAAGATGGTTGCTCACTCCTCCCTCGAATCTCGTCGTCGAATCCTGCTTCGAATCTCGTCGTCGAATCCTGCGTCGAAGCTCGTCGTCCCTCGAATTTCGTCGACTCCTCCCTTGAATTTCGTCAGATTTTTTGTCGCCTTTGGGGAATCACTGGCTTTCTTAGGGGATTTCGTCGGATTTTTGCTTGATTTGTTGGATTTCGGCAATTACATGTATACGTTCTCTATGATATTCTCCTTTGACATCTCATTTATTACTGTGAGTTTCACATTCAATGCGTGGCCATTTGGCTTCTTGTTGTGACTTCCATCAGTACGTCGCTTTTTTTTACTGCCAATAATCTTTGTAGCGTTTGAACACATTATAACTGTGCAATGACATCTTGAATGTCATCTCCATTTGAAACAATTTATTTAAAGGGTTGGTTGAGTCGATAACAATGACTACACAAGTATATGTTGATTATATTTTTTTTTACTTTTGTAAATAAATTGTTGCTTTTAGTCTTCTTATAGATTATTCAATAAATATATTTATAAAATATTATCTAAAAAGTATATGAAAAAAATAGTTAAGAGGGTAAAGTATATTATTTGAATATTGTAATTGTCCAAATGGTTTGTCATTGGCTTAGTCACGTTGAAAAAAAGAGATCGAGCTGGTATTTGAAGTTTAATTGTACTTAATGAATAGTTTTAGGGGCACCACTTTTATTAAAATGCAGAAAGGGCTTCAGATCCCATTTATTGGTTACCCCTACGCCCTAAACTAACCGACCTGCTTGGCGGAGCTAGGGTTTCCGCCGCTTCCGCTTCCGCTTCCACTTCTGCTCCTCGCAGAGACATTCAGAGCGAGGGATTGAGGTTAGTTTTCTCATTTGTATTATTTTTATTTTTTATTATAGTAAAGAGTTTTTTTTATTTCAGGGGAGGGTGTTTCACCCATTTTCCTCCAAATATAAACTTGTTGATCTTGTCAAATTTCTACTCCATTTACTTTCACACAATGGACAACCGTTCACTTCCTCTCCGAAAAAGGTGAGCTTTTTTTTATTGTAATCCTTCTAGCTATTTTAATTTAGAGAAATCTATCTTTTTTAAAGAGAATTTTAATAAAAAACCTATCAATTTTCTTGCTTTTGATTTTTTTCCATAATTTTTTATTTTCCTTATCTTATTAATGGGTTTTGCTTATATTCAAGTTTCCTTGGGTTTTCTTTAATTTTCTGTGAATTTTTTTCTAGGAAATACTTGCACTATTTGAGGATGGAGATAGTACCGCCTTCCGTGAGTAAGTTTTATAAAATTATTTTGTTTTATTGTGCTTTGTACTGTATTTCTACAGTGGGTTAGTTGTTATCCTTTTGCTTTTGCTTATTTGCCCCCATAATTTATTTACTTTGCTTTGTTATTTCTCAATTGGTTTTTTGTTTCCTTTTTTTTAAAAGAAATTGGTTTTTTTGTTTCCTGTTTTTAAAGAAACAATCTTTTTTTATTTATAATTTTAGTTTGTTGTCAGTACATGTTTTGTCAGTCAATCCCCTTCTAGAATTTGTTCATTCTAACAGAATCCATAGTTTTATGGTTTTCTATTTATATTTTTTGGGTTTTTATTTAATTTTCTGTGATTTTTTTAGGGAACGTACACTATACAAGGCTGGAGATGGCACCGATATCGATGGGTAAATGTTGTTGAATTTTTTGCTCTGACCATGTTTAATAGCTTGCCATGTAATCCAATTTTTCTGCAGAGTATAATTTATTGTCTTAATATATTTTGGGCTAAAAGTATTTAGTCTGTCACCATTCCTTCATGTTTTTAATGTTCTTTTTAGCTTACATATTATTTTTTATTCTTTCATTGGTTTTTAGAGTGTTATACCATGATCATGGTTGAAGATTTAAGTTGAAGTTCTATCTGTTACTCTTAACACTTTTTATTTATTTATTTATTTTTTCAGACATTATTCTTGTTTTTAAGTTCATGTTTTTGTAATTTGCTCATTAGTCTTTTACATCCCAAGGGATTCTGCAAATTGGTCTCTCAGTGACCAAAATTCCCGTCGTCATTTGTTTTTTTGAACAAGTGGGTTATTTGGGGCATAAGATGAAAAGGCTTTTTTGTCATTTGGGAATCAATTTGCAAGACTGAGGACTTGAGGGGGTTTATGGGGAATTTTAAAGATGCGAGACTAATTTTTGGGGCTGATAAGTGAAAAGCCTTTTTTAGAAATGATGACTACGAACAGCTATCAGTTAACCTAATCCCCAAATTGCGTAAAGTGGTGATATTTAAGCTCTGGAATCATCTTTAAACTCTTGGTTTAAGCTCTTGAATTGTGTCCTAAGTTCAAGTGACTTTTACATTTATAGTATAATGCACTAAAATACGATCTGAACGCATTTAATGAAATCAAATGTAAATATTATATGTTTAGGCTCACTAATTGGCCATATCAGGAATATTTAAGACAACGGTTAGAGAAGCCTCCATGATTAGCGTCTTTATGCAATGCGCATACACTTTAATTGATATGTAGAGCTATGATTTTTTTCTAATTATAAGCATTGTAATTATTACGTGTAGAATAATATTAGATAAATTAAGAGATGTTTGGTTGTTTTCTGTAAAATAACAACTGTAATTTCCTTGTTTTTCACGATATTTCTTAGAACTGTTTTCACCTTGATTTCTTGTGTTGGGAGTTGATTGAGAGAAGTAACTCAAAAGTAGTTTTTGCAAAAATTTCTTAGTTTTCTACCCTCTTAGGACGTACTTAGAGACACTTGATAGTTTTTTATATTTTCTAGTGCCTGTAGTATTATAAGCTATAACTGGTGAAGCATTTCATATTTATCCCTATTACTGCTAGCTTCAGACTATACGTAAAATAAAGTCGTATATTAAAATCCGACTTCTACATTATAAAAGACAACGATGAAGCTTTAATATATGACTTTATTTTACGCATAGTCTGATGCTAGCAGTAACAGGGATAAATATTTAATACAACGGCTAGAGAAGCCTCCATGATTAGCGTCTTTATGCAATGCACATACACTTTAATTAATATGAAGAGATATGATTTTTTTCTAATTATAAACATTGTAATTATTACGTGTAGAATAGTATTAGATAAATTAAGAGAAGTTTGGTTGTTTTCTATAAAATAACAAAACTGTAATTTCCTTTTTTTTCACGATATTTCTTAGAACTGATTTCAATTTGATTTCTTATGTTGGGAGTTGATTGAGAGAAGTAACTCAAAAGTAGTTTTTGCAAAAATCTAGTTTTCTATACTCTTAGGACGTACTGAGAGAAGTAACTCAAAAGTAGTTTATTATATTTTCTAGTGCTTGTAGTATTATTAACTGGTGAAGCATTTCATATTTATCCTTGTTACTGCTAGCTTCAGACTATGTGTAAAATAGTCATATATTAAAATCCGACTTCTACATTATAAAAGATTTACCATGTCTAGCAATTACTCTTAGAGTTTGTGTTCTTGAAGTAGTTATTTTAGTACCTCAGTTTCAAAATAAATATTGCCTATACAAGATTTCTTTTTCTACTTTATCAGTGATCGTGGTGATGGTAACTCAGAAGAAAATGAAGCTGTTGGTGCTACTTCCCAGGATTCACTAGAGCACGATGAAATGTAAGATCTCTATAAATGTGTGCATGCATGCGAGTGTGTGTATATAAACCAATTTCTCATATTTTACTTTTGTTTGCAATATTTTGTTACTAGGACACAATTGCTTTCCTTGATGTCCTTAAGGAAGATCTTTGTGTCATACCACCAGTACACCTATCAGCATCAGAAGCAGGGGAAAGGGAATATATATACATGCATTGTTTTGAACCCCCTCTTAAAAAAACACATACACAACAAAAAAAGAAAAAGAAAAAAAGAAATTAATATCAATAGTTTGTTTCACCTTGTAGGAAGGCCTGTGATTTACACTCATTTTGGAGAAAGATGGAGTGTACGGTTGACTGTTCTTGAAGGTTGATCTGTATGACTGCAGATGATTGGGAAGTTCTAAAGACTTGTACTATGTTAGCTACAATTGCAGAAAATTTGCAAGAACATCTTATGCTTGGAAGGAACCAATCGTATTTTGATTCTGTCCACTAGGCCTGTCACCAATGGGAGAGACATGTCGAGGGACCCTATGCTGTTGTCAAGAGGTTGGAGAGAGCGATTCAAGTTCTTCAAGCGGAGAATGTAAAACTGAAAGCGGAGAAAATAGAGCTGCTTGAGAGATTAATTCCCGCCCGGCGCGTGTAGCTTTGCTAATGCAGGGTGAGCATTTTTTTTATGGTTTCAACGAAACTAGACATAATAAAAAGTAGTAGCGTGACGCTTTCTCGTTTTGTTCTGATCTGTAAGTACTTCGACTTACATGATTGCTGATGGAAATCTTCTATTGTATTGTATTATTACATATTATCAGCGTCTATTGTGTTGTAGTACTGCATTAAATGTAGTAGTGTGACACTTTCTTATTTTTTTCTTCTGATGATCATGTACTTTTGACTTCCATGGTTGCTGAGGGACATCTATTGTATTGTATTACTACATACTATGAGCTTCTATTGTATTATATTATTACATAAAATATAGTAGCATGATACTTCCTCATTTTGTTCTGATTTGCAAGTACTTTGACTTACATAATTGTTGAGGAAAATATTCTATTATATTGTATTATTACATATTATCAGCATCTATTGTATTGTATTGTATTAATGCATTAAATGTAGTAGTGTGAAGCTTATATTATGTAGTAATAAAATGTAACAGAAGCTTATAATATGTAGTAATACAATACAATAGATAATTTTCCTTAACAATTATGTAAGTCAAAGTACTTAAAAATCAGAACAAAATGAGGAAGTGTCACGCTACTACATTTTATGTAGTAATACAATACAATAGAAGCTCATAATATGTAGTAATACAATACAATAGATGTCCCTCAGCAACCATGTAAGCCAAAAGTACATGATCATCGGAAAAAAATGAGGAAGTGTCACACTACTACATTTAATGCAGTAATACAACACAATAGATGCTGATAATATGTAGTAATACAATAGAATATTTCCCTCAGCAATCATGTAAGTCAAAATACTTACAGATCAGAACAAAACGAGAGAAAGTGTCACGCTACTACTTTTTACTATGTTTAGTTTCGTTGAAACCATAAGAAAAATGCCTAGCCTATCACTGCATTAGCAAAGCTACATGCGCTGGGCGGGAATTAGTCTCTCAAGCAGCTCTTTTTTCTCCGCTTTCAGTTTTATATTCTCCGCTTGAAGAACTTAAACCGCTCTCCAACCTCTTGACAACAGCATAGGGTCCCTCGACATGTTTCTCTCATTGGTGATAGGCCCAGCGGACATAATTAAAATACGATTGCTACCTTCTAGGCATAAGATGTTCTTGTAATTTTTTTGTAATTGTGGCTAACCTAGTATAAGACTTTAGAACTTCCTCTGTAGTCATACAGATCGACCTCAAAGGACAGTCAACCGTGCTCATTCATATTTCTCCAAGCTGAGTGTACATACATGTCTTTGTATAATATGAAACAAACTATTGATATTAAATTTTTTTTTTTTTGAATATGGACCAATATTTTGTAATAAAGGTTAGGCAGCTGGCCTGTAAAATTGTGCTGACAGAAACTTTGTAGTAATTTGCATACTGCTGCTAGTTTTTACATCACTTGATTTTAGATGGGGCATTATCTTATTTTTAATATATGTTCTCTGTAACCAATTCGACCCTTCTCTCTACTTTCATGTTCATTTATGTAAAACTCGAGCAACGTGTAGATGATCGTGTTTGAGATCACAGGGTTGAGAGATCCCTGCTTTTAAACGAAGAATCAAAGTATGGTGGCTCTCGGTTTTAGCTTCTTGATTGTCAGAAGGAATTATTTTATTAGGATTGTGTTGGATGTGAGACAGAGGTTTGATCTAGGGGTATTCTAACTTGGTTATCTAATCTAGGGGCATTCTAACTTGGTTATCTATCTATTTCCCAAAGCACAACGTATGAATTGCATTTACTTGAGATGTTTGGTTTGAATTAGATCCAATATCCGACAAGTTGACTTGGAATTTTTTCTCTCTTTTTTACTCACAACATTGGTTAATTGACCAAATTGGGTTTTTAACTGGCTATATAATGATCATATTTTATTATGTTTTTATACTCCTATTATCTACATTATTTAAATAAAAATATTATAATAATATGTTTTATCTTAATTTACATGGTAAATGAATAAAAGCCCTCGAATATCTCCCCTCTCAATTTATTTGAAGCCCAGAAAAATCAAAGAACATCGAAAGATCAAAAAAATTAGCAAGGCATCAACGCCTGCATTGATGGGTGGTGCGATTTGTTGTAATTTTTACTTTTTATGGGTCTTTCGTTAGTTTATTTGTTAGAATTGGATGTAATAGTTCCTAAGTAGAGGTGGTGAATGAGAGTTTGAGGGGTGGGAAAAATTTGTAACTCTATCTAGAGCATAGGGTCATTTTTAATTGAGAAGACATTTCAAATTTTCAATAAAGAAATTTTTTTATCTCTTCAAAATTTTCTTTTATTTTTCACTTAATTGTTGACGGAGATGAGTATGGAGATAGAAATTTACTTTCTTCAAGAAGCTATAATCCTATGGAATGTAAGTTTTCCTTTTTCCCTTTCTTTCTTTTCTTTTTATTTTATTTTTCCCTTTCCTTCTTTTCTTTTTTATTTTATTTTTCTTTTAGTAGAAATTTACTTTCTTCAAGGGGCTATAATCCTTTGGAATTTTAGTTTTCCTTTTTTCCCCCTTCCTTTCTTTTCTTTTAAAGATTTACTTTCTTGTCTTGTATTACTTAGGGTAGATTTACTTTGTGGAATAACTTAGAGTTTCTTTTATTTTGTAATTAATTTAGTTTTTATTTTCAGGTTCATAATGTAGATTTTTGTTTCTTTATTCTTATTTTTATTTTTGTAATTAATTTTTATTTTTATGTTTATAGTTTAGATTTTACGTTCATTTGTTCTTCTTTTACTTTTGTAATTAGTCTTATTATCTTTTTCTAGTTTAGATGCCACTTTTATTTTTCAATGTGGAACTAAAATCTTGTGGGAATTTTTAAGTTGTATGAAACTAATTTAGTTTCCTTCGTAAGATGTGAATTATTATCTTATACTTAAAATGTTCGTGTTAGAATAATAAACAAGAGATGTAGAAGAGGAATTTGATAATCTACCATTTCCTTAAATTGTTTGATAGGTTACACTAATGAATTCTAGAATTAATCTCTAGTTGATTTTTCTTTTCATGAATGTAAATTTGACTCGGATGATAATTGGATAGATTACCCTTTTCTTAAATGGTTTGATAGTCTACATTTAGTAAATCTAATTAATTTTAATAAAAGAAAAAGGATAAATAGTTCATAATTACTAAGAGAAATAAACTAGTAGATTCAATTTTAGATTTCTCATATCGATAAATGAACTCCTCATTTTTTCTATTTTATTTTCCTTCTTCCTTGAATTTCTTTTATTTTCTTGTTTTTATTTTCTCTAATTTATTTACTTTTCTTTTCCCCCTCTTAATCAAGTTTTATTTTATTTTGCACACAATTACACTTTCACCAACAGATCTCCAAAACCAAAACCAACACATTTACATTTATTTTTCCTACGCCTAATTGTCTGCACGCATTTTGCAAATTGAGTTAGATGAAATTTCCATAAAACACGTCTCCTCATGTGATCGATATCTTTTTATACTATAACTTATTAGTCGTGCGCTTGCGTCTATGTTCTTAAATATAACATTATCGATTTAAGTGTTCGGAATGAGGACTTGACTGGTTGTTTGGATGAAGATGTGACGCCCCTGGGTTCACACAAGGCTGCAGTCCGAGGTGAAGCCAAGAATGTCAAACCTGCCATGCACTACACCGTGCAACAACATGTTTCACCATCACAATTTTATCACTCTAGTGGGTCAATAATAGGTGTAGGTACAAAAGCAAGTAAGAGATACTACAAGAGATAACTGATGAAACGACAAAGATCAAATAGTATTTCATCATCCAACACACAGGAATATAAAGTCAATGTCTAAAATGAACAAACTGGAGTTCTTAATACATCTCAAATACAACAAGTCTGAATAAAGGAAATAAGGCACACAGCCTTTACAACATCTAGAATAAAGTCCTCAAATGTCTAAACAAAGTCTATAGTGGAGCTCTAAAATAAAGCATAGCTAGAATAGACAGTCGAACACTAAAGTGTGTCGCCATCAACCTGCGACTCTCCGGGCTCCTGGCTCGTGACCTGAAAGGGGGAGGGACAACGAGCGTCAAAGCGCTAGCGAGCAACATCACAACCAACCCCAATGGAGAGGGCTCGTTGTATAAGAAAATACGGTTATCACAAGGTATATATATATATAAACAATTACCCTAACAATAAACAATGGGTCTTGGTACTTATGAAGTTTCAACACGGGCATAGGTACGTCGAGCGAAATAATCCAAACAAGGAAACCCTCATGTATATACCTTGTATCCCAAATTGAAAATCCTTAAGTACCAAACCCGGAGTCTAACATGTAAACAGAAATAAGCAAAAAGAAATTTCAACATGTCTCCGAAAATATATATATTGTATTATGAAACGTCCCACATAATTACCATGTCGTATTTGACATAAGTGTCATATCATACTCTCAATATATGTGGTGTCATATTCTTCATAAGTGTCATGTCATAACTCATGTGAAATGTCGCATGCATGGTTAATAAAGATGTCCAGTACATGAATTAGATATAGAGATTTCCCAACACATGAGATAAATGGATAATTGCCCAACACGAGGACTGAAATGGATTATAGTCCAACACGAGGACTTCTATGGATTATAGTCCAACACGAGGACTGTGCAACTGAGCAAGTATTAGTGATATACAAGGCATGGTTTACTTATGCAAAACTCACACTCAACTCGTCGTGTGATTCTAGGCAAGTATTTCAGGCCATCTATCATGCATAGATGCTTAGTACAACTGAAGATCAAAGTTAGGTGATCGAGGCAAGCGCTCTAACGAGTGTACTAAACAGCAAAAATAAACAGGGCAGGAAAACTGTGCGGCGGTCGACCGCAGAACCCACTCCGGTCGACCGCTCGCAGGCCCGAGAACTACTGGGCTCAGAAGCTGAGCGGCGGTCGACCGCAGAGGTCATGCCGGTCGACCGCCCAAAGGGCAGAAACGATTCTGCAGGCAGGAACGCGTGACGGTCGACCGCTGAGTCCTCTGCGGTCGACCGCTGGGCGGACAGAACCCCATTCTGGGTTCTGTCAGCTACCGAACTCATACAAAAACTTGGGGATTTCTATACCCATTATACTATAACCTTTTAATAGAGAACTATGGCAATAAACAACAAGTTTAAATGGTTAAAACCTCATTATCAAAAATCCCAAACCTTAAACAACATGATTTTAAAAGTTCTTAAATAGTAAAAATGAGTTTAACTCTCATAAAAGTGTTTCAGATCAAAAACTCATTTAATTAAACATCATTAGTGAACTTTTTAAGACTGAAATATATGATTCTTGCATCCCATGCCATAAGATCTACTTATCTACACAAAAATACGATTTTGGGCTCAATAAAAACCGAATAAAACTCAAATCCAAGCATAAAAAGGAAAAGGGATGAAGTTGGGCGGGATGTTACTCGCCTACGACGAAAACGAAGCCCTAGATCTGGAGGAAGATGATCCCTCTCGCTGAATCCACCAACAATTCGCTGAAAAGCCCTCCAAAGCTCCTCCAAATCACCAAGGAGTGAGAAACTAGGGTTTGAGGGGAGAGAGGGGGCTAGGGTTCTGATATCAGATGGAAAATGGGGCTCTCTTGGGTATAATAGTATATATACTATCCCCACAACCCGACCCGAACCCGACCCGAAACCCGTTAAGACCCAACACAGAAAAACTCTCTGCCCGCTGTACGGTCGACCGCCGCGCCCAGCGCGGTCGACCGCATAACAGGAGAAAAGTCCCCTGAGTGCCCGACTGTTGTGCGGTCGACCGCCGCGCATGTCGCGGTCGACCGCACAGCAGGACAACTGCCTGCTATGTCTGTTTGACATCCTGGTGAATCCACTTGTTTTCTCCAACATAGAATTTCTTGTTAGGCTCCCAAACATGATTCATCACATTCAATATATATAATATGTATGATAAATTTTCACAAAAGAATTATTCATCACTAATAATTCAATATCTATATATCCTTATAAAATTTTACGGGGTTCTACATTCTTCCCCCCTTAAAAGAATTTCGTCCTCGAAATTCGAAAATCATACTCATCTCGAAATATGAGATTCTAGATGAGCGTTTATGGATATTTATACTTAACCGTCCAAAATGATAACATTCTCGCTCAAGCCTTAATCTAGTGGAACTAGTACATCGGGTGAAAAATCCAAACAAGGAACCCCCCATACATATACCATGTGTTCCAAAAGATTAAGAATTGGGCGAAGATATTCTCATTCTAGTGTTAAATAGATCTAACCAAATATATCAACATAATATAAGGCACTTGTCATAAAATTTATTTACCTGATCAAACAAATGTGGGTAGTCGCGTCGCATATCCTCCTCGCGCTCCCAAGAAGCTTCCTCAACTCCACTTCGGTTCCATTGAACTTTCACCAATGGA